AATATATCTATATTATGTTTTGTATTGCAGGCCTTTGTACTCTGAGTGTTGTACATGTGTCTCCTTCTCATTGAAATCTACTTTTGCTGTGGAGATTCCTTTTAGGTGAATTGTTCATTACTGCTCTTTCATGGTTCTGGTGGTAGTTTAGTATATATTTGTTGAACTGGACTGTCAGCACAATCTTTTTTTAATTTCATTTTAGCACTGTGATATTTTTTTGCTGTATCTTACATTCAGTAGCTCAGAGGAATTGTGCGCAATAATTTTTGTTTCACAATTTCTATCACCTGCAATTTCCATAAACTTGAAATGTTTTCTTTACTGTGCTTTAGATTTGAAAATTAAAATCATTTTTTCAAAAAATTCTTAATGTACAAGCTGCACAATTTCAACTTTTGAATGATATTCTGCTTTCTATTTGTGGGTACAAAAATCAAGATACATAAAATATAAAATGGACAACAGTTTTATTAATTTTGTGTATTCTTCCTTATTTTCATTTTGCACTTTACACTTTCATGATGTTCTTCAGTTATCAAAATTACAGACGCTAAAAAAAAAAAAAGTTCAGGGTCAATATACATTTTGTTATTGTCAATCTATTTACAAAAAGTTATGACAGTGACTTGTTATGAGGAAGTCTCTCCAACTTAAATCAATTTATTTGCCACATTTCACATTTTCGACAGCAAATTAGTGTTATTTTGTTGTACTGGTTTTGTTGTACCCATCGGCTACAGTCCAAATGTAACAGGCATATCTGAAAACATTGTCATTTCACTTAATCCAATATACATTACTCCATAGTCAACATATTCAATCAAAGTGGATATCACATACACTCATAACAAAAACCCAGAGTTGAAGCTCAACCATTTCTTACAAATGCTTGAAACGTGCGAATAACTTTTAATTGTAGAATAATTAAGTGTCAACATGTGTCATCAGATAGTTATGGATTTGGATAAGAGATTTTTTCCACTTTTGGTAGCATGTTTGAACACAATTCTCTCCACGTAAGTTGAATTTTGGTGAAACAACACCAAGCATTTGGAACTCATTAGTCATTAAAGTTCACTCACTTTACAGCTGTTTCATTACAAACTACTGCAATGCAACTGCCTCCAAAATCCATCTTGTGCAGCATTTTGGATTATCCAGTAGTTGTCACCACACATTCGTTGTATCTCAGGGAAGTACACCGGCAGCATGTGTGAAGTGTCAAGTGGAATCTCACCGCAGGAAGTAAATGTCATATCCTAGTTACCCCCAGCAAGTTGAACGAGGACTCTCACCGTCCACAAGTTGGTAGATTGACTACAAAGAACACATTGAGTTCAATGAGTGTTGCTAAGATGAGGAAGACGACATACATGGCCAGGCATGCCTGTCCCATTTTTCGGTCCAGCTTGAATTTATTTGCATAAAAGGTGACGTATAGGAGCAGCAGTGTCGATAAAAGTGATATTGCTGAATACTCCAGTCCACGAGAGTTGATGTTAACATAGTGATGGCCCTTTGCAGTGGGCAAGAAAGAAGCCTTGATAAACCAAGGCAGCCCCAAACACAGTAATATGTCGAATGTGTTTGAGCCTATAGAATTGCTAATGCCCATCGAGCCATGGCCTGAAAACAGATAAAAGGGAAATCAATGGTAGTTGTGGGTGAACCACACATAGGAGTCGAGTTGTTATGGAGACAAAATAAATAGCTAATCTTGACTTCTCTATTCATTTATCTCCATAGCAGAGTGGACCCAGTTTCATGAAAGTAATAAACATCAACACCGTTCGGAAGCCAATGTCACAATTGTCGGTCAATGTTGTGGAATACCTTGTTTCGCGACTATGACACTGGAGACAGCCTCGGGCACGCTAGTGCCCGCCGCAAGGAACGTGATCCCCATCACCGAGTCGGGAATCTTGAGCGTGTCTCCTGCAAAAGCAACCATGCTGGTGAGTGGGAGAGGGGATGCCAGCAGGTAATACATGGTCCCGTCCTCCTCACCTATGATGGTGATGAGCCAGGCCACGACATAGGATAGGCTGCCAATCCACACTATACACATGAAGAAAGTGAGCGGAAAGAGCCGTTTGAACTTGGGCTTCTCGCAGTCGGGTATGGTGAAGAGGAACACGAGGTGGATGGGCCACGTGACCACCCACACGACGCGCCTCCACCAGCCACCGTCCGGACAGGAGAACAGCTGGATACACTCTGGAAGAGGGTTTAGAACACATAGTTAACACGCACCGCTAGCAATGATGCACCGGGAGGCAGATTGGCCCCTCCTGGTCGTGATACTGTGCCGCTTGCACGAGCGTGGGCGGGATGCCTATCCACTCGGTCCGGTGGTCATGAGAGGCCTTCGTCAGAGACGATAGGCAAGCCCGCGCGACTGCACGCGGCACAGTATGGGCCAGCCAATGAGCCACAGTCCCGACACTTACCCCCTTCCTCCGGGGCGGGTCTGGCCTCCTCGCTGGCCTTGATGGACCCGTTGATCTGCTCACTCACTCCCATGGCCGCCGGCCCGGTGGACCCGGGCGCGCCCGCGACCGCCACCGTGGTCTGCAGCGCGGCCGCCGGGTTGAGAGCCTGCTTCTCCTCCTCGGCGACGTCAGAAGGAGGCGGGGGAGAGGAGACGCTCAGCAACACCTCACCCGCCTCTGGTAGCAAGGGGGGAAGTCAAAGTGAGTCGAGAGTCGTGTCGGCCCGGTTGTTGTTTGTGGGCATTCCCCCGCGCCGATTCGCGCCTTGAGCTGCTTGCAGCCCCGCGCCTGCTTACCAGTGGGGGATGACTCGCTCTGCCGCCTGCTCGCAGTGGAGCCGACACCTCCTCGGGCACAGCTCTGGATGGACTTGTCCCAGTACATGACTGCAACACGCAACAAAAGCCCTCCGGTCACTGCAGGGCCGGGCACGAGCGCGGCGCCGCGACGCGCCCTGGGCCTCGCCGTCGTACCTGCGATGTAGACTATGTAGAGGAGGACGAGCGTCAGGGCCTCGTACCACTCGACCCGCTCGTCGTGGATGATGCAGATCAGGAAGGCCACGGTGACGCCGTAGGCCAGGCAGTCCCTCGTCAGCGGCCACCAGTCGAGGGGCACCACCTGCGGCAGCATGCGGAGCCCCCACGGTCATGGCACGATACGCTCTGTCCTTGTGTCAAAAGAGGCTCTCTCTACTCCGCAGTGCCTAAGAACTGCGAAAGTCTTTCCAAGTCAAACGAGCCTTGTCTACCCGTCTACCCTAGTCGCCATGGCTGACCTGCTCCGCCCGGCTCCGCTCGCTTCGGCTGTTACAGCGGTCGGGCATTCGCCTGGCTAGCGAGCGGCGTGGCACCGCGCCGAGCCACCACCGAGTCGGCCCCGCTTCGGGACACCGAATGCTTTGCGCTGGTGCTCGGGCCCCTTCATCCGCGGCCCCATGGTGTAATGGTTAGCACTCAGGACTCTGAATCCTGCGATCCGAGTTCAAATCTCGGTGGGACCTTCCCTTTTACCTCGTCAATTTCATGAATCAACCGAAATAATGTAGTTTTCGAGAACGATGAAGAAGCAGGCTCTCACACAAAAACCCATGTCGGTAGGAGCCAGCTTCTCCCTTCAACTTCAACTTCAAAAAGTGACCAGAAAAATGTCAAAATAAAGTGATGATGTCTAAGTGACGTCAAAATGAAGTCCTTGGTGTCAAATGACTTTATTTTGACCTTTTTCTACTTCCTCCGTGGCTCCACGGACTGGTTGCCTTTCCCACTTACCAAAAAGAAAAGAACTCATGTAAGTGGAATTTAAGTCAAGTAAATATTGCAAACGCTAAACAATAAATAAATAGAAATGAAGTACAGGGTGGGTGCTCCGCGCCGTCCTTTTTAATGCTTATACTGTACGGGATTCACGCGTGCGGGCGGGCGGGCTTGCCTACCCTCGCTCGCCAGGGCGCCTTACGGCCCCGTGCGAGTATGCAACCCGTCCGCACGCGTGAATCCTGTACAGTATAAGCATTAAAAAAAGGACGGCGCGGATCACCCACCCTGTATGAAATGGAAAAGTTGCGTTAGAGGTACAATGGAAGAAAAATCCCGTGACCAACACTGGACTCTACCCTAGTACAACAAAATGACCGATCAAAATAGTTCCCGATCCTGCCAGGATTCGAACCTGGAATCTTCTGATCCGTAGTCAGACGCGTTATCCGTTGCGCCACAGGACCGCTTATACTCCCCTCTCTCGAAAATAGGAACACAACAGCGAGGCGGAGAGTGGAGGTGTAGTGGGGGTAGGCGGCAGTAGTGGTGGGGAGAATCGAGCGCCTGCGGGAGTGGGACCGCATGCCAGAGTGAGCGAGACAGCAACTGGTTCCCGATGACGTCATGCGCTGTACACTGCCGAGCCTGCGCTCTGCGTACGAGACTGTAGCGGCCGACACGGCCTCCCCTCCACTCAGCTGTGGTGTCCGAGTGGTTAAGGAGTTGGACTTGAAATCCAATGGGTTCTACCCGCACAGGTTCGAACCCTGTCCGCAGCGTTACCTTTTTATTTATTTTTCTGCACTGACTCGCTGAGCTGATGTTCTGCGCAGTACATCTTAAGATATGCAGAACCAATAACAGCATCTTAGAGCATCCTTTTTAGCGGCGCTATATTAATAGTTTTCACTCTCACACGAGAGTCGCTAACATAGTCCCCAACGCCGTGGAAACTAAAAACTCATGCCAAATGTGTGTTCCCCCCCATGAGTAAATGTGTACAGAAAGAAATGCACTGGTCCTCTTTGCAAATCATCCACGCCAACTAAATTCCACGTTGCAGCTTCCACATGTACCGCCGCCGTCCGCTGCGATCGATACATGCACCAATTGTCAGATTTTCTCACGTAGCAGCCATTCCCACGGCTGGGACCGGGACGAAGAGTCAGGTCGGAGGGCAGCCACCCCCCGCCCGTCCCCCGCCCACCCCTGCTCTCAGCACCCGTGGGAACGAACCAGGAAGGTGGTCCAGAAGATGAGACGGGTGACTAGGAGCGCAGGAGAGTGGAGGAGGTGGCTTCTCACCTGGCCCCACTCGCCTTCAGCCTCCTCAGCGTCAAGGTGCGGAGTCCCCTGGTAAGCACGTACACAGTAGAACGGACCCTGCCCCCCCCCCTCCCCCACACTTCCCACATAATTTCGATCTGCCTCGACCAAACTTAGAGAAAACCATACGGATGATGCCCGTTGGAGAACAAGTTGACTGCTCTGCTCACTCCGAGGCTCACTCCCATTCTGTCGCACGCGCTACCGTCCCTGCGGCCCAAGAGCGTATGCAAACCCGCAACGCTGCCGTACGGGTGGGTTTGCCTATGGTCTCTACCCACGGCGCT